CGGGGTACCTAGCACTGGTTATGGCAGCAGCAGAGGAGGAGAAGCCGAACGCAGAACTACCTGCAGCAGTGAAGGAGGTCTTGGAGCAGTACAATGATATAATGCCCGACGACCTACCTGTAGGCGTACCTCCGGCACGCACCCACGAGCACGAGATCGTGGAGGAACCAGGTGCGAAACCCGTCTCACGTGCACCATACCGACTGAGTCCGTCCGAACTGACACACATGAAGAAACAGATCGAATATTTACTGGACAGACAACTGATCCGCCCATCCACCTCTCCCTACGGTGCACCAGTTCTCTTCACTCCAAAACCAGACGGCAATTTACGGATGTACATCGACTACCGCGCACTGAACAAACAGACAGTCAAGAACAAATATCCCATACCGCGCATAGACGATCTTCTGGACCAACTGCGTGGTGCAACAGTCTTTTCGAAGCTGAACCTACGGTCGGGTTACTGGCAGATCAAGATGGCGGACAACTCGATCAACAAGACGGCTTTCCGTACCAGATACGGCTCCTACGAATACTTGGTGATGCCGTTCGGACTCTGCAACGCACCAGCGACGTTCCAGGCGGAGATGAACCATATCCTACGGCCCTTGCTGGACGAGTGCGTAGTGGTGTACCTGGACGACATACTCATCTACTCCAAGAACATGAAGGAGCACCTGGAGCATCTGCGGAAGGTGTTCGAGATCCTGCGGAAAAACAAGTTCTACGTGAAGCTATCTAAAAGCGACTTCGCCCTGAAGAAGGTACAGTTTCTCGGGCACATGGTGAGTGCCGAGGGCGTACACGTGGACCCGCGGAAGATCGAAGCCGTAAAAAAATGGAAAGTACCGGAGAACGTGAAGGAGTTGCAGCAGTTCCTAGGCTTCGCCAACTACTACAACAGGTCCGTGCCGCAGTACGCTAAGATAGCAGCGCCACTGACCGACCTACTGAAAAAGGATACACCCTACAAATGGGATTGTCCTCATCAGCAAGCCATGGAGCATTTACAGACAGCACTGACTACAGCGCCAGTACTCATCCTACCGGACCCAGACAAGGACTACGTAGTAGAAGCAGACGCTAGTGACCAAGCAGTCGGAGCAGTACTGATGCAGGATCACGGGAACGGTTTACAGCCTATCGCCTACCTCAGTAAAAAACTACACGGAGCATAACTGAACTACCCCATACACGACAAGGAAGCCTTAGCCATAGTCGTAGCCTTCAAGGCGTGGAGGTGTTACCTAGAGGGAGCCAAGACTACAGTCTATACTGACCACTGCAGCCTCAAATACCTGAAGTCGCAGCCGACACTTTCACGACGACAGGTGCGGTGGGTGGACTTCCTGGAAACGCACTTCCACTACGACATCGTCTACAAGCCCGGGCAACACAACAAGGCAGACGCGTTGAGCCGCCCCGGACATGTAGCAGGCATCCATCTCGACGGGATGAACCCTCTGCTCAAGGGTCTGTTCCAACATGGGTACTCCGTGGACGCAGAGATTGCTACAACACAGACTAAGAAGCTGTTACAGTGGGAGAAAGACTTAGCGGTAAGGAAGGGTTCAAGAAAGATTTGGGTACCGAATTACGCCCCGCTACGGCAGATCCTATTGGAGGAGTTTCATAACGTACCATACGCGGGACACTTCGGGAGCAACAAGACGTTAGCGGGAATAGCAAAGTATTACTACTGGCCCGGGATGGCAGCAGACGTGCAGCAGTTCGTCACCTCTTGCGACACGTGCCAGTGGATGAAGAGTAGCAAGTAGAAAAAAGCAGGGTTACTTCAGCCTCTACCCGTACCGGAGCAGCCATGGCAGGTCGTTCGACCTCACGGGGACATGATTCCATCCTCGTGGTGATCGATAAGTTCTCCAAAATGGGTCACTTCATACCGACCAACGCCACCGCTACAGCTGAAGCAACTGCTCGCCTCTTCTTCGACCGCATCATCACCATCCACGGCATCCCCGCTACACTCATCTCAGACAGAGACCCCAAATTCACGAGTAAGTTATGAAAGGAGCTCATGGGATTATTGGGGACCAAACTTGCGATGTCCTCCGCGTACCACCCCCAGACTGACGGACAGACAGAGTGACTCAATCAAGTGGTTGAACAGTTACTGCGCACAGCTTGCAACGATGATGTCAGCCACTGGGACATGCAGTTACCGACCCTAGAGTTCGCTTACAACAACGCGTCACATGCGGCCACAGGGAAATCTTCTTTCTTCCTGTGTTACGGACGGGAACCACTCACACCACAGCAGCCGACCACACCGGCACACGTCCAAGCCGCACATGACTTCGTCACCACCATACAGCAGCTATGGGAGAAGACCCAGCGACGTCTCATCACGATGCAGACCTCCTAGAAGCAGTATGCCGATCGCCAGCGACGTGATCACTCAGTAGCAGTCGGAGATCAGGTGCTTCTCGACACGCGCAACTTGAACCTGTCTCACCTACCATCCAAGCTCCGGCCTCGCTTCTGTGGTCCTTTTCACGTTGAGGCACAGGTGAGACCAGTAACATTCCGCTTGCGCTTACCTACTACGTGGAAGCTTCACAATGCTTTCCATGTTCAGCTACTGAAGCCCTACAAGGACCCCAACCAGCAGTTCCAGGGACGGCAGCTACCGCCACCACCACCTGTTCTCATACAGGATGAACCAGAGTACGAAGTGGAGCGCGTTCTCACTCATCGGTGCCGCGGCGGCAAGACCCTCGAGTTCCTGATACGCTGGAAGGGATATGACCCCACTGAGGACAGTTGGGTTGCAGAAGCTGATATGGGCAACGCACGACGTGCTCTCAAGGACTATCTTGTCAAGCAGGGTGTATCTCACGCCACCCAGCTTTGAGGGGGGGACGTGTGAGAGTACGATGGCTTATGCCAGCTATGATTGCTTGCCTTTACTTTATTATGCTATTTCTAGCTTAGGTTTGTTTTATGCATGCATGAATTGCTTGATTTCCTAGGCTAGGTGCTCTTCTATATTTTATTATAGTTATAGCACCGAGCTAGGTTGCGTGCACCGAATTCTGGGCTTTTCGGTTGCCACCGAATTGCCTTCTACCGAATTCGGGAAGGGTCTGTTCGGGACGCTTCGCGACCCTCAGAACCTTCGCGTAACACCTGGTTACTGGGCCTTGTGTCGAGTCTATATATAGCCTCGTGTTGTACCCAGGGGATTCAATCAATTCAAACTCTCTTTTCTGAGCTCGATCCTAGATCCTCACAGGCGAGGTGACAATTATTCGCCACCAGTCCATGGCGGGCCCACGCAGTAGAGAGACGGCGTATCGAATCTTCGCTGCGTCCGGCGTCACATAGTTCGCGTCGAAAAAGTCGTTCATCGTGAACACCCACGATTGAACCGTCGGACCCCTGCGTTGGCTTGGATCAAAACAGGGCGGGCATTGAGGCTTCAGCGGCAACGGTTGTCCGAATTCGTCGTGGCTGAAATCCGCCGCAATTGTGACGCGTCGGCAAATATCGCGCAGCGCTTCCGTGCCCGGAATTCCCCTAGCTTGCTCCATGCCCAGCTTTTGTTGGACGGCGCCAATACTGGCTGCAACTGAGCGATGTCCCACACTGTCGTTTCGTGGTGTCGTAGCGGTGCCGGTGGTGATTGTGATGGGGGGTTTGGGTGGGGCTTGTGAAGGAGCGTGTGCAGTCGATCGCTGGAGTGATTCCCGTTCTGCCGTCAATGTCGCAATTTCGAGTGCGGATTTGTGTAGTTGGCAGGTGAGCTCGTCAAGGTGCTCTTGGGTCAAGCCTTCGAGCGAGATGCGTTTGTCCATGGCGAGGGGCATCGGGCGAGCTCAACGGCAGTCTCGGTCGTGGATGTGTGTGCTTACGAGAGAGCACACTAACAGCGGCACTTGGCGGTGAGGGACGTCTACCCCCCCTCCCCCAAAAAAAATGTGATAAGTTGGGAAGCGAAGGTGTGCGCGGTCCGAAAAGAAGCGTGGCTCTAAATGCCAAGTGCTACGAGTTCAATGGAGTGAGAGAACAATTGCACAATCCAAGCAAAACAAAGGCATGAGCGAAGTGTTAAATAATGAAAGCATATGGTAACGGTAATGCGCTCGCTCACGAAGGGGTGCCCTACGGGCCTAGCGCCGAGATTGGGGAAATGTCGAGGTGTTGGGCTGGGCGGTTTGGGCGCGGTGGTCGTGCTGGCGGGAACAGTGACGAGGCGAGTGTCACGAGGTGGTAACGGGATACTGTTCGGGTGCTTTGTCGGGAACAGTGCTATACGCGGTATGTTGTGTGGTGCGAAGTAAGGAAAGTTGTTTCCTTACAGTCCCCAACACGTGGTATATGTCGAACAAATTAAACGAAAACTATGTTGCAATCGTAACATAAGGATGGGCACTGTTATGAATGAACTTGCAGAGTGCGCAGAATAACGAATAACGAGAATGTTGAATACTGAATGGCGATACAAGGAACGTAGCGAGTTTAAATAGGGGAAACCCTAGCTAGGCGGGGAGGTCGGTAAAGGCTGGCTCGAAAGGGTTGCGATTGGCGCGGAGGCGACTTGGGAGTGGTTTGGTTGCGGAAATCTAGGCCGAACGTGAGGGTTGCGTGACCCTCGGGATGGACTCGCTAACGAGTGCTGCAGTAAGGATTTGTATATCTTTACAGGCACAAAGCACATATTTCAGCACCACACGGTAACTGTGTCTTATGGTTCAGTATTCACAGTTCTGTTACTGTACATTGTCACTTGAAACGACACGTAGCTCGCAACTCATTGACATTGATGCCATTAAACGGCATAATTGTCTCTACAGGTCTAGCACATGGGCTTTACCCTACCCTTCTATATCAATGCTACCGGTAACAGATTACCACAACTAGCAACAATAGACCGCTCAACTACCAAGATTCTGTGGTGTCAAGTGACCAAAGAGTATTTGTCACCCTTGTTTCGCTTGTGTTGTTTGATATACTTCTAGAATCCTGTCCTTATCCTACCCTTTGCCCCCCCGTTCCCGCCGCTCCTCCTCCTCCTCCTGCTCCTCCTCCTCCCCTTGATCCTCCCCCCCTTGCTCCTCCTCCTGCTGCTCCTCCTGCTCCCCACCTTCCAACAACACCTATTTTTCCTCCTGGAGCCTGCACTAGCCCAGGAGAGACCACCACACCACCAGGTGTTACAATCTGTGGCGGGTTTCCACCTGCAGGTGCTTTCAACGGAGGCTTCGGAACGGCAGGTGCTGCTCCAGGTGTTTTAGGGCCTACAGGTGACCTGGCAGATGTTTTTGCAGCTGGGGAGGTGACGGGAGGCCGGACCAATGGCGGCTTGACACCTGGCTGCTTGACAGCTGGAGGCTTAGCCACTGGGGCTTTGACACCTGGCGGTTTGACAGCTGGAGCCTTAGCTGCTGGAGGGTTCACTACCGGTGGTTTCACTGCTGGTGGCTTCACCAGAGGAGGCTTGGTTGTAGGGGGGGTGGCTGCAGGGGGCTTGACTGCTGGTGGCTTGACTATAGGTGTGTTCACCACAGGGGGTTTGGTTACAGGAGACTTGACTGCAGGTGGTTTCACTAGAGGAGGCTTGGTTGTTGGTGGCTTGACTATAGGTGGGTTCACCACAGGGGGTTTGGCTGAAGGTGGGTTCACTACAGGAGGCTTGGTTGTAGGGACGGTGACAGCAGGAGGTTTGGTTGCAGGTGGTTTAACTGGAGGCTTGACTATGGGTGGGTTGACTACAGGGGGTTTGGCTGCGGGAGGCTTCACTGTAGGTGGATTTACCACAGGGGGTTTGGCTGCAGGTGGTTTGACAGGTGATTTAACAGGTGGTTTGACAGGTGGGTTGACTACAGGAGGTGTCATCCCACCTCCATCACCCGTTTCTCCCACTCCTCCACCCCCTCCTCCCCCTGCACTTCCCCCTGTTCCGCCCGCTCCGCTCCCCCCTTGCTGCGGATTCCGCTGCTCCCCGCCCCCCTTGGTTCCGTTCTTTTGCCCGCCTCCCGCCGCGGACGGCGGAAGCGGCGCGTTCGCGAGCTGGACAAACGTCGGTTCGAGGAGCGCGTTGGTGTAATAAAGATCGACCCACGCGTCCGGAACTCCCGGCAGGCACCAGTGCGTGCAATCGCCGGGCCACTTGGCCATGCGCTTCGTCAGATCCTTAAATTCCGGGTTCCGCACGATGTCGTCGCTCCATAGACCGAGGTGCGCGTCGGGCCGCACCGCGCTCAGGCGCGTCACGCGGAGGAGGCGCATCGGGCTGCCCGTACCCGTTAAAGACAGCTTCTGCATCGCGTAGAAGTTCTCCGTTTCCTGCGTGGTCGGGTATAGCTGCGCGATGGCGGATTTAACGACGGACGTCGCGCCGCACGCGCCGGCCTTGGTGGCATTCGCCGGCGGGCTGTAGTGCTTCGGGGAGGACGAGACGAAATACGGCACGCCCGGATAGTCGATATTTTTCAGGTGCTGCCCGAGATTGTGCGTGGCCTCGCGATACGCGTCCACGTCGGAAACTTCGATCGGCTTCCCGCCGCGGAAGTAGCTGTTCTTCTTGCTCCTTCCGGGAACGTTTTGCATCCACCAAGCCATGGAGTGGAATATAATCCCGTGATACGCGGGGATGACGTGGAGTAAATTTGGATCGATAACGTCCACGTCGATTTGGTAGCCGTGGTTGCCCTTTTTGCCGTCCGCGTTATAGCCTTTAGCGGAGCGCATGAGGTGCGGGAGGAAGTAGTAGTGTATCTCGAAGCGGAAACCGGGGAAGGAAAAGCCGCGGAAACGCGCTCCGCTGGGTGTGCGGTAGCTCACTTTCTGAAAGAGAAGAGGGGGAAACCGGAGGGAGAGGTGGGAGGAAATTAGGGAGAACAAACGTTGGGGTGGCGTATCATAGCAAAGAATCATATGACTGAATGAGGCCAGAGAAATGTGGCCCCACTATAAAGTACACACATTCACCCTCCCCTCCTCTTTCCCCCCCACACATGCACGCACATACAAGCCCCGGGCGCGTGAAAGATCGTCTCTCGGCCATTGTCCCTTCCTTTTCGTTCTCTCTCTCATTCTCGATTTCTCAAGCTGTTCACTCTAACACTCTTTTTTCTTTCTGGGGAATTCTCTTCTTACTTGCCTAACAAGTACTAACCCTGTGCGTGAACGGTCCGGAGGTGATGAGGCACAGCAGCGACTCGTACATGTTCCCCATGATCGAATCTCCCACCATCAAAAGCCTCTGTAACGGGGACACAGCAATTCGGGTGCAAAAACAACGCTTGCATATTGAGGCAATGCGGAGTGTACGGGGGATTCACTGTAGCAACAGAAAAGCTGCTAGGAGAACAGGGGCGTCTTATTGTGGAGATCCTATGCGTGTGTGGACGGAGGAGTTAGGGGTGGAAAGGGGTGGGGGAAGGGAGCGGTTGAAGAGGGGAGATTAGGAGGCTGAAGGGAAAGGGGAAGGGGGCAGAGGGGAGAAGGGGATGAGGACGGAATAAGTATGGGAGAGTGAAGCGGATTTGGCGGCGGTAGCTGGATATGGCTTCAAACGCGATTTAATGTGCATCGTGTTTGAAACAACATCTTTCTGCCGTTTTCGCAGTGCTCGCGCACTTTTCGTTCACCTTGTTTCGCATGAGTCGCAGAAAGCCCCACGGGTTGATGTACGTCAGGTTACACCCTTCCGGTTGCCAGCGGTACGAGCGGTAGATTTTGTCGGGCCTGCCCGTGCCGTCGCAATTCCAAAGGGCCCGCATGTACTTGCATTGGTAGCGGCTCGTCGAATTGATGCCACTGTAACGCGGGAAGCGCACCGGAGAGGGTACCCAGCTCCCCGTCGCATAGTCACATGCGCCTGTAACGAGTGGAAGAAACGCAAATTTGACACGAAAAGTTGATGATAATTTTGCAAAAATGTGGTTGTCATTTGTGGCTGGTAGACGTAAATCTTGCAAGAATGATCTTTCGTAATTTAGGGAATTCTCCGAAGGTAACGAAGTGAAAGGGAAGGAACATGAAACGGAATGCGCGGCAAAGGTGGGATGTAACGTGCAATGTAAGGTGCAGGTACCGTGGAATGTAACGGGAAAGTACGTGGATGTAACTCTCAACAGAGTATAACGACCCGGGAACGTACGTGGGCTTTGTTTCAGCGCAAGCGGAGCAGCGGGCACGGCGAAGCTTATCGAGACGACAATAACGAGGACAAGCGGCACCAAGCCGTAAAAGGCTCCGCTCCTTCTTCTCCGCGCGACACCTACCCCGCGCCCCCTGGAGCACTTTGCATTGCCATCCTGGCTCGTTACTGACCGTTCCGCTACAAGGACGCAGGGTGGACAGAAGCTGCTGCTATTCATATTAACTACGCCCAAGGAAAAATCGTTTGTCCGAAGGATGCAACGTCACGCAGTAAAACAGCCTTTCCAACCCTAAACGGCTTAACGAGTTTTAATCAGTATTAACGGCATAACTAGTAGTATAGAAGCCTCAGAAGTTTCGGTTTGCTCTACAACGATGGAAGAATGCAACGCGATCACGATGGCAAATGCCCCAATCGTAGTTAAGACTATTATTGAGAGTTATCAGTACTGTCATAGTAGCATATCGGTATTATGGTGGGCATCTCGCGATCCGGCATCGGTGCTTCGCGTGACATGCGGCGACAGAATCATGTGCTTCTAATCGTACCAAAATGCAAAGAAATTGAATGGCTTGTAGCAGCTATTGGGAAGGCAGGCACGAAGTTTAGGAGAACTAGCAAGCCTTCAAACTTCTCTTACAATACCGCGGGCCTTGACGTTTTGGAATAGTTTTATGAGGTAGACGAACTGCACCAAGGCCTTGTGAATTCCTTGAGTCTCTTGAGTAACTAGCTTATTGCCAGCCCCCCGAACTACGAACAACAAGTTCCAGTGAAATAAAGTCTATCGCGTTCCAAGCTTCGGACACCAAATGGCAGGGCAGCCGACGGTGCTGTTTGTGTGTAGGAACGCGTTCGGCAAGAGTCGTGTAAACACGAAGCACATTGGTAGGTTAGGGCAATATCGCTTCTACTCCCCCAAGCCTACCCATCCAGGCCTACGCCCCAGGCCAGGGCTCCTTGATTGGAAGTTGAAACTCCAGCTGTTCAAACTCCACGTCACCTCAAGAGGGGGAAGGGTGAGGCGGATGTAGGACTCGTCGTCGTCATCCAAAGGGGGCTCCAACTCGCAGGTATTGGTGGTCAGGACGGTTCCATACAGTATAGAGCGGTTTTAGAGTTTCACCGTTGTCCACCGTGACACACCAAATTAGACCACGAAGAGCGTACAAGAAACGTACGAGTTGGACACTCACAGCCATGGGACATTTCATCTCGAATCGCCCATCAACCAGCACATGCGGCTCGGAAATGTTAGGAACCCTGGGTGCCGTGGCTAAAACGACAACAGCAGGTGCCATGTCGCACACCCTCGCGCCCTTGGCGTTTCAGGGCCCCGCGATGAGATTTCATTTCGCATTTTCGTGGGAGCAGCCCTGCAGTGGGAATAATGAAGCTGCTCTTGTGGGGGAAAGTAGGAAAGGAAAACATTCACAACGTAAGTCTACAGTGTCTATACTAGAACATAGGGCATAGGCCATGTTCGTGTACAATATAATATCATAAGTATAGACCCAGACAATACCTCAATATTCACTTGAGGTGCTTCTTCGCATCTCTGACAAATCTTTTAAATCTGTAACCAAGCTCGTTTCCCTTGACAATGTTCAAGCCCCCCCCACTGAATGTTAGGGCTTCACTTGTATGGAGTCTGTACCAGCACTTCAAAAACACAATTTGCCACAAAATGGTGTTATGAAGCTAGTACATCAGAAGCACCCATCTACCTACCAGTATCAGGTGCAGTTGCATGAACTCATACCCTCCACTATCACTCTCTACAATAACGACAACAACACCTACCTACGGTAACTACAGTAAGCCTGCACTGCACACACAACCTAGCAAAAAGATATAACGGAAAACGCTAAACATCAACCACTCCTTAAGGTTACCAGTAACCGCACCACTCAACGCTGCGATGGCCGGCGAGACGAAGACGGCGGCGCCAGCGCCGGCTGCGGTAACCAGTTTGTAACATCCAGATGCCTGCGCTGGTTTTCATACGACGAGCTATTCAGTGTAGCCGCTCTCTCCAGTGACACTGGGAGCACATTCACCCCGTATCCCCCCTCGTCCTCCCCATCCACATACCCATCCCCATCATCCTCATCATCCTCCCCTCTTCCTCCTGCACCATACCCATACGCATCATGCACAATGGCCGGGCCTCTTGGAGCATTGGTTCGGCCGCGGCTAAGTGGCCCCGAGCCTTGCCTCCCCGACCCTCTCTCTCTTCCGGACCTGCTCCCCCGTTGAATCTGCCTCCGCCTCTGCTCCTGCCGCTCCCACTGCTCCGGCTGCTCCTGCTCCCGCTGCTGCCGCCGCTGCTGCTGCTGGGGTGGGATTCGCCGCTGCTGCTGCTGCTGGTGCTGCTGCTGCTGCGGTGCCAGGGACTGCGACCACTCCTCACGAGTAGTATGAGCATCTGTCTCCTCATGAGCACGAGAGTATGACTCCTCATACCCCTCATGCTCTACCATTTCTTCATGCCAGCTGCTCGCTCTGTGACTGCGCGCATGGTAACCGCGTCCCAGCGAGTTGTTACGGGTCAGCCCGGCACTCCTCCCTTCACCGCTCGCACTCGAGCCGAAGCTGCGATGATCGTGGGGACTGACTCGGGCAGCGCTGTTGCTGAAATCGCCCCTTCCCAACGAGTCGTTACGGCGCAACCCCGCACTACCAGCATTCCTTTCCCCGCTCGCACCCCTTCCCAACGAGTCATTACGGGGCAGCCCGGCACGATTATTCCCTTCTTCCCGGCTCGCACCCCTTCCCAGAGAGTCGTTACGGGGCAAGTTACCGCCACCAGAAGCACCTGCTGGTCTAGACACGGAGTCTTTGGGCGGCCGGTTCATCCTCCTTAAAGAGTTGCTGCGATAGAAGTCAGCAGCATCACCAGCACCTCCACCTTCTGCTGCTGCTGCTGTGCCATACGCAGCTCCTGTGATCATGGTTTCATCACCAGCACCACCACCACCACCACCAGCAGCAAGGGCTGCTGCTGCGGCCCTACCAAGCGAATCGCCCCGAGATAACCTGCTGGGGGCAGCTCTCCTATCCGAACCTTGAGGCTTCCCAGAACCAGAGGTCTCAAAACCAGAAGTCTCGAAGTCAGTCCGTCTACCAGCTGCAGCAGCGGAAGCAGCAGCATCACCCCACAAGTCACCACCACCCCTCGCCTCCTCCCCACCGCTCTCCCACCCCCTCCTCCCCCCTTCCCTGAACGTTTTCTCTGACATTTGCCTCTGCAGCCGCCGCCCTCCCACCAGCCGCTTCCCTCCAGCCCCTCCCCCTACCCCACCTCCTCTCTCCCTTCCTCCCGACAACCCCACCCTTGCCCCAGCTATCCAGTCCTTGGCTGAAATAACAGCAGGAGCAGGGGGGGCGGGAGCGAGGGTAGCCGCGGGCCTTCGCCGATCGGTCAAGCTGCGTTGGAACTGCCGGGGAGCACTGGCAGCACGGGTGGCATGGGGAGCACTGGGGTGAGGGTGGTGGAGTGCTGCTCCTCCTCCTCCTGCTGCTGCTGCTGCTGCTCCTCCCGCTATCCAGTCCCTAGCAGATACGGCAGCAGCAGGAGGAGCAGGAGCGGGAGCAAAGGCGGGGGGCGCCCCCCTTCGATCGGTCAAGCTGCGCTGGAACTGCCGGGGGGCACGGGGAGCCAAGGGGCCACTCAACGGACTGGGAGCACTGGGGTCACGGGGACGAGCACTGGAGTCACGGGGAGCACTGGGATCACGGGGAGCACTGGGGTGGGGAAGGTGGGCTGCTGGATTTCCTGCTGCTGCTGCTGCTGCGACCGCTGCTGCTGCAGCTTCTCCTGTCAGCCACTCTCGTGCAGACACGCGGGGAACAGCACCAGCAGCGGGAGCGGGAGCGGGAGCGGGAGCGGGATGGGGAGCAGCAGCGTAAGGAGGAGGGACGGGCCGCCTTCGATCCGTAAAGCTGCGCTGAAACGTCTGGGGACCGCTGGCCTGGGGGTAAACGGGCTGGGCCGCATTAGACTGAGACTGCGGGTGGAATGCTAATGCAGCAGGGCTTATCGGGGCTCCTGGTGGTGCTCCTGCAAGCCACTCTCTCGCAGAAACACGGGGAACGGCAGTAACGGCAACAGGGTGGGGAGGGAGGACAGGCCGTCTTCTGTCCGTGAAGCTGCGTTGGAACGTCTGGGACCCTCCTGCTGCTCCTGTTGCTGCTCCTCCTGCTCCTCCTGCAGTTCCCCCTTCTCCAGCTCCTGCTGCTACTGTGTGCTCCTGAGGGTCTGAACCCAGAGATGAGGAACGGGGGAACGCACCTGCTTCAAAGGAGCCTGATGCCTTCCCGACTGCAGAACCAACTGCCGAACCAGCAGCAGAACCAGCAGCAGAGCCAGCAGCAAGGCCTTTCCCAGGAGCAGGGCGGGGCAGCAGCAAGGGCCGCTTCATCTCGGTTTGGCTGCGACGAACGGGAAGCCTCTGCGGCTGCGGCTGCTGCGACTGCTGCTGCGACTGCTGCTGCTGTTGCTGCTGGTTCGCCATGAGCTGCTGCTGCTGCAGCTGCTGTAGCTGCTGCTGCCTTTCGTGGTCGGACTGACCCTTGGAATCACTGCTATAACCGTCGCTATCATCCCCATACCCCTGCACTTCACCCTCCTTACTTCTCGCATTGGCCCTTGGCCCAACCCTCCCATCCCTCCCATTCTCCCCATCCACTCCATCTCTTGCATTTCTCTCTCCCCTCCTCGAATTATACCTCTCGTCGTCCCTGGGCCCCCCCACTCCCCTCTGGCCGCTCCCATCCCTGTCCCACTCACTCTCCCTCGCCCTCCTCCCTTCCCTAAACCTCTCCCTTGCCCTCCCTCCATCCCTATGAGCCCCAGATACCATTTGAGCTTCCTGAATCAAAGCAGCGTCTTCAATTCCATCCATATAATCACCTTCCATATCGTATCCTGCCATAGCACCTGATCCTCTGTTGAATTCACCTGAGCCCACTCTGTTGAATCCACCTGGAACCGCTCTGCTGAAATCACCTGAGTCTGCCCGGTCCAGATCAGATGCACCTGCTCTTCTGCCCGAAAGGCTTCGCTCGGTGCTTCTGCCCGAAAAACTGGAAGATTGAGCAAGTCGCGAGCGAGAAAGTGACCTGAAAATTCCGCTCCCCCGCTTACCCTCCCCACTCCTTCCCCCAGGCTCCCTCTCCCCACTCCTTCCCCTAGCCCCCCCCACCTCCCTCCCCTCCCCTTCCTCCTCGTCTTCCGAAGTGCTCACCGAATCGGACCTGAACACCTCCCGGACCTGCATCCCAGGTACGGTGTTGGCCGGGCCTAAACTGGCTCGGTAAGCACGGGCCGAGCTGGCATGGGGACTTGGGGAGAGAGAGTGACTACGGTGCGAGGATGGGGAGCGAGAGGAGGAATGGGTGTGGGGGGAGTGCTGAAGCTGGTGAGGAGAGTGCTGTTGCTGCTGGGGGGAGTGTGGCAGTTGGTGTGGGGAGTGTGGCAATTCGTGTGGGGAGTGTAGCTGTTGGTGTGGGGGTTGTAATAGCTGTCTTTCATCTGTCATCCCCTCACCACCGCCACCAGCACCAGCACCACCGCTGCCATCGATCAACTCTTGAAACTCCTCGTCATCCACAAACTCATCCCTCTCCCCCCCTTCCTCCATATCCTCCCTCTCCTCTCCTTCCTCTCTCTCCTCATATACCCTCGCACCTCTCTCCCCCTCCTCCCTCTCCTCTCCCTCCCGCTCAGAATAACCTTCCCTATCATACTCAGATGCCCTTTCGTACTCCGATGCCCCATATTCCGATCCTCTTTCATACTCTGATGCCCTCTCATAATCTTCCGCCCTCTCATAATCCGACTCCCTACCCAAACTCCTCTCACTCCCATGGGAACTAGCAGCAAACTGCCCCTCTCGAAACTGTTTCTCTCGAAACTGACTCTCACGAAATTCCCTCTCATGCATTTCCTCCTCATCAGGGCGAAGCTCTACCCAGTATGACGACCTCCCTTCTCTCCTCCCCCCACCATCCCCCTGCCCCTCCCCTTGCCCCTCCCCTTGCCCCTCCAACTCATCTGGCTCCAGTTCCCCCCCTCTCTCTCCTCTCATCCATCCTCCCCTCTCTCTTCCCCTCTCCCCTCCCCTCTCTACCCCTCGTATCTCCTCAGCCCCTCTTCCGCTCCCGCCCTGTCCCCCTGCCTGCATATGCACCCCCATGGGGCTCTTCGTTCCGCTTCTCTGCAGCACAAACTCCCACTCATCCAATGCTGCCTTCCCCTTCCCCTTCTCCTTCTCTCGCTGCCACAGCTGCTGCTGCTGCTGCCACTGGCGCTGCTGCTGCTCTGACTGCCCCTCCCGCCCATACCCCTGCCCTCCTGCCTCTTCATACCCCTGCCCTCCCGAATCTTCATACCCCTGCCCGAACTGCTGCCCGTCAAAAGGCCGCTGCTGCCCAAACTCCCCCTCCTCAAATTGCTGCTCCTGCCCGAATTGCTGCCCCTCAAACTGCTGTTCCTGCCCGTACACCCCCCTTTCCACATACTCCTGCTCAAGCACTTGTCGTCCCTGCCTCCTCTGCCCCTCAAAATACACCTGCTCCTCATACTGCTCCTCATGATACTCCTGATACGGCTCCTGCTCCTGATAATCCACCTGATAATTCTCCTGATACTGCTCCTGATACTGCTCCTGATACTGCACCTGATACTGCTCCTGCTCCCCATATTGCTCCGCATATCCCTCCCCATATTGCTCTCCATATCCCTCCCCATACTGCTCAGTATGCGCCTCACCATACTCCAACGGCTGGGTTCCCAAGTCCTGCCTTTCACCCTCATACCCATCCTCAGGCCCCACCCACCTCTCATGCGGTTGGGAGAACTCCGTTTCTCCCACCCACCTCTCACCCCTTTCAGTAGCCTCTGTTCCTTCCCCCCACACCTCCGCCCCTCCCTCCACTCTCCACGTTTCCGCCCCTCCCTCCGCCCCCCACGTCTCAGCGCCTCCCTCCACCGTTAATCTATCCGCCCCACTCCTCTCCGCCCCTCTCCACCCCCTCTTCTTCGCTTCCATAGCAGCCAACCCCATACGATGCCGGTCAAACGAGTAGAACGACACTCCTGCCGCGCCCCCACCAGGCCTCGCCCGAACCACCCCTGCCACACCACCCTCATTATCACCCTCCTCTTCCGACCCACCCACCACATCTCCCGCTCCCTCTGCTCCTTCCCCTGCTCCCTCCGCTGCTCCCCCTGCTGCTCCCGCTGCTGCTCCTGTCCGGCGAACCAACGAGGAAGACGGGGATAAATACTTCTTAACAGTCAAACTGCGGGTCGAGCGAACGATTCTCTCTGTACTCGTCCGCTGCAGCGGAGGCCTGCCACCAACCCCACCAACTCCACCAACCGCACCAGCACCGCTGCTACTGTCATTCGCAGGGGTATTGCTGCTGCTGCTGCTGCTGGCAGCAGCAACATCACGCCCTGACAAACCCAAACCCAAATCCATGCCCATACTCTGATTGGCAGCGTCTAGCGCCCTGCTGCTTAGAGAGTGGTGCCTTACCAGCAGCCGCTGTGCTCTCCCTACAGCCTGCTGCTGCTGTTTATTCTCCTCCGTTTGCTCCTGATCCTCCGATTTTCCCTCTTCCTGCTTCTCTTCCGGCGGCTGCTCCTGCTCCTGCTTCTCCTGCTGCTGCTGTTCCTGCCCCTGCCCCTGCCCCTGCCCCTGCCCCTGCCCCTGCCCCTGCCCCTGCCCCTGCCCCTGCCCCTGCCCCTGCCCCTGCCCCTGCCCCTGCCCCTGCTCCTGCTGCTGCTGCTGTTGCTTCCCCTGCCCCTGCTCTTGCTGCTGGAAGCTCGTTTTCTGTCTATCCACCAATGGGGAGCCTTCTCTTGGGGAAGGCTGGTGGAAACTTCCCCCTCTGGACAGCCCTAGAGGGGAACCATCAGAACCGTGGTCTAGAGTAGCCGAGTCAACGCCAGTCAACGCCTGAGATGACTCAAGAGCAGACCCTTGGGCCACTGTGGCGGAGTCAACGCCAGTCAACGACTGAGTTGACTCAACACCGGACACTTGGGCAAGTGTGGCCAAGTCAACGCCAGTCATCCGGGCACTGCTGCTGGGGGTGCGCGTTGGAGTGAGTGTGGGAGTGAGTGTGGGAGTGAGTGAGGGAGTGATTGTGGGTGTGAGTGAGGGAGTGAGAGTGGGAGTGAGTTCCTGCCTTGCTGCCCCCTCTCCCGTCACTTCAATTGGAGGATCTACCTTCCTTTCTCCTCCTCTCAAATCCCTCACCCCGCCAGCACCAGCACCAGCATAAGCACCCTCGTCCATCTTACCTTCCTCATTTACCTCCTGCCTAACCCCTTCCCCTTTCCCTTCCTCCCCTCCATCCCCTTCCCTCCCTCCCTCCCCTTCCGTTCCTTCCTCCTCCCCCACTGTCTCCCTCACTCCATCATCACTACTCTCCTCCCCATCCTTCCGTCCCTCCTCACCCTCACTCTCCTCTCTCTGACCCGACACGGCCATACCTTCCCCACTCCCCTTAACCTCACGCCCTCCCACCCCCACCAGCGCAGCAACTGCAGCAGCAAGGCTCCTGAACCCCATCACCCCCTTCCTCCCCTCGCCTCGCCTCCCGTCCCCTCTCCACGTCACCTGCTTTCTCAGCTCCATCCCTCCCAACCGCTCTCCACCCACCTCCTCCTCCTCAATTCGTTCGGGCCTGCTTCTCAGCGTAACCTGCCTTCTAAAAGCATCCATAACCCCTAGCTTCTCCCCTCCACCATCTCTCCTCCCTCCTCCCCCTCCCCCTACTCCTCCTCCTCCCCCTCCTAGCCTCTCCCTGGGTGCCAGCCTCAGGCTTATAGACCGCTGAAACATCACAGCCAGAGACGGCCGTTTCTCCTCCTCTTCCTCCCCTCCTCCCCCTCCTACTCCTCCTCCCCCTCCTCCTTCTGCTTCTCCTCCCTCTCCACCTGCCAAGCTACGTAATATCCTCCTCACCTCCTCATTCCTCCTCTCCTCCTCAGCATCCCCACTCCCTACCTGTAGACCCTCCTTCTCCGCTCCCTGCCCCTCCCCTGTCTCCAGCAACCCACTCTCCTGCTGCTTCTCCGCCTCTTCCCTCTCCTCCTCAATCTCCTCCTTCGTCTCCTCCTTTATCACATCCCTCCTCATCCACCGTTTCTTCTTAGGCCTAGGTAAAGCCGCCCTCCCAGCCGCCCGCCCCTGCCTACCCCCCCCTGCCTTCTCCCCCTCCCCGTCTCCCACCCCACTGCCACCACCCGTCTCCCCATCCCCTGCCTCCCTACTGCTGCTGCGACTAGCCACCATCGACATGCCTCGGGAAAGGGCTTTGTTGCGGGACAGAGACATGCTACGGGTGAGAGCCATGGCGAGAGAGGGGGAGGCGCCACTTGGGGACGGTGCATTAGGGGTAGCACCACCAAAACCACCAGCAGCAGCACCAGGAGAGGCAGCAGCAGCGGCGGCGGCGGCGGCAGCGGCAGCAGCAGCTGCTTCAGCAGAGAGAGGTGTTTGGTATTTCTCCTCTAGCTGTTCCCATAGCTTTCCTTCCTGTGCCAAGTCTTCTGCGTCCTCCTCCTCCCCGTCCTCCTCCTCCCCGTCACGACTAGAACCAAAGCTGCTTCTTCTCACACCGACACCGGCAGCACCACCACCCGAAGCACCGCCGCCCGCACCCGAACCAGCTCCCGAACCTGCGCCCGCACCAGCACCCCCGGGGGAGGATAACGAGCCAAAGCTGCTGCTTCGGAGGCGACTCCTCTTAGATGCGGACCCAGGCCTCTCCCTGTCCTTGTCTTTATCTGATGAATCTGAAAGAAAGCTTGATAGAAGGGACCTTCTACCTGACCTGCTACTCCCACTACCACCAGCAGCAAGAGCACCAGCAGCACCACCAGACCCTGGTTCGGACCCCCCCCTCCCCTCCTCCCCCTCCCCCCTTCCCACTCTCCCCCGTTCTCGGCGAATCAAAACCCTCCCCGGCCCACCCCCCCTCCCCCTCCCACTCCACATCACTCCCCCCTCCGCCCCCCCCTTCTCTCCACCTCTGGACACTCTTCAACCCCGCAGCAAGCCCCTTCTTAAGCGCCCCTTTCCCCATAATCCCCAGCAGCTCTGAAGACCCGCCAAAAGAAGGCCCCCTCTGCCTCCTCAACCTTCTCCCAAACGTGGGCGTGCGGGCAGTGGGAGTGCCGGCTACAGGCGTCCCCGCTACAGACCCCCCGGCTGTAGCCGACTCTCCGGCCGCGTCCCCTAGCGGCCCGGCTGTAGCGGGGCGGCGGGTGCTGCCGCCTGGGCTGTAGCAGGCCGGGCTATCCCCAACCCCAAGTAGATCCTCCCCCTGAGTTTGCCCCTGCCCCCGGCTGTATCTAGACTGGCCGCTCTGCCTGCTGCTGCTGCTCCCCATTCCTCCTAACCCACTCCCCAGCCCTCTCCCACTGCCGGTACCTCTGCCGGCCCATTTAGGGCTGTTGATGTCTGAAGGCAGGAGCAGGGAGAACGGGGAGCAGGCGTTTGGGAGGGAGTTGGACCGGGGAGTGAGCTCAGGCTCGGGCGCGCCCAATTTCCAGGGTAAATCCCCCTCCTCGCCATCCTCCCCGGGAATTGATAAATACGGGGCTTGTGCGCTTGTTTCCCCTTCAATTTCCTCATCCCCTTCACCTGCCAGGTCCCTATCTCCTGCTCCTCCTCCTCTTCTTGCTTCTTTCTTCCCCCTTATCCTATCGCTCAGACTAACCCCTCCCCGTGACCCTGACCTTCTTCCCTCGCCTCTTCCCCCCTCTCCTCCTCTCCCCGCATCTCCCCCCCCCAGCGCGGACGGAGGGGTGCGCGCGGACTTAGAGGGTGCAACTGGCGGGCGGAACCCGCTATAAGTCGCGCCCCAGGAGAAAGTTCCTATAACGGGGGAGTGCGGCCGCGGGGGAGCGGGGTTCAGAGAGGGGTTGTAACGGGGGTGGCGAGAGGAAGGCGCGGAGCGGCGGTTTGGGGCACCGGGGGAAACGGAAGGGGGGCTTCTAGGAGTGGCGGCAGCAGGAGGGGGAGAGGACGCGGGAGCAGCATCTGGGAGTGAGTGAGACGATTGGGAGCGAGAAGCTTGGGAATGGTGGGATTTAGAATGCAGGGATTGAGAGTGCACGGATTGGGGGTGGAGGGATTGGGAGTGGTCGGATTGGGGGTGTGCGCGCGACGGGTGAGTGTGAGAATGCGGCACGGGCGGCTGAGGGGAGGAGGGCGAGTCAGGCTGTAGGAAAGGGGGATGCGACGGGTGCGTGTGTGAGTGTGGCACGAGCGGTTCAGAGGAGGGAGTTGGGGATGCCCCAAAACTAGAGTCTGGGGGAACAAAAGAGCGGATCGAGGGGTGAGTGTGTGAGTGAGGCACGCGGGGCTGAGGAGAGGGGGAGTCCGTGGGATGTGACTGTACACCGCGTGACTGTACACCAGGGGTAGAAGAGAATGAGCTTGGGCTAAGAAGCCCCAACCCCTCAATCTCCCTCCTCTCCCTCCCATCCAACTTCTCTGCTTCTCCCACTCCCCTCTCTCCCCGTTCCTCTGCTGCTAAACGCGTCTCATCCGCCCTATGCCCCTCGACCGGACTCCTTCCCGCTCCAGGTCCGACCCTGGGCAGCACGAGCCTGGGCACCCCGAGCCTAGGTGTCAGGTTCGGACTGGCAGGTTCGGCTTCAGAAACTGCTATTTGAGGAGGACTGGAAGTGGTGGGCTCGGTATCAGGAGCTGCCACCACAGATGAACGAGGAGACCCAGCAGCAGCAGACCCAGCAGCTGCAGACCCAGCAGCTGCAGACCCAGCAGCTGCAGCAGCAGCAGCAGCATCTACTGCTGCTATATCCACGAAACCAGCCTCTTCTGTCGCTACAGCTGCTCCTGTTACTACAGCCGCTCCTGCTGCTACACCTACTGCCGCACCTGCTGCTACACCTACTGCCGCACCTGTAACAGATGTAACAGGCCCACTACCTGTGGTACCCACGTCCTCGCCTGCTGCTACAGCTACAGCATCGCTCTCTCCAACCGTTACACTCTCCTCTACACCTACGGTTACCGAATTGCTCTCTTCTAAACCTTCAGTTACAGCGGAACCCGGAATACACGTTATAGTATGATCCGCGCCGACAATTACAGACTCGTCTACTGCTACACCAAAACCACTGCCTTCTCGAAAAGCTACAGTTTCACCTGCTGGTGCGATTGACGTTTGACAAGCGTCGGCTGACGCAGCCTTAGCCACGTCATCAGCTGCTACGGCCTTCGCCACGTCATGAGCTGTTGCTGCCGGTTCACGGCCAGTATCACGCACGGGATCGCAAGAATAACCATTGGCAAAAACTGAAGTCCCTTCTGCACCTTCAGCACGCGCAGCAGCAGCAGCAACACCGTCAGCACCGTCAGCAGCAGCAGCATTGCCAGTCGCAGCAGCAGTATCAGCACCAGAAACCGCAATGTCAGCACCAGCGCAGCCAACCCTTTCCCCGGCTTCCGCCTGTGGTGTTTCCGTTTCCCCTGCTTCCGCCTTTCGTATCTCTGCTTCCCCTGCTTCCGCTTGCGGTGCTTCCACTTCCCCTGCCTCCGCCTGTGGTATTTCCGCTCCCCCTGCTTCCGCCCGTCGCGTTTCCGCTTCCCGTGCTCTTAACGTTTCCGCATCCCCTGCTTCCGCAAGTGACGTTTCCGCGGCCCCCGCGTCCCCCCCTGACTCTTCCGCCACCCCTTCATGCGCGCGCACCATCCCCATCCCCGCACGATCAAGCTCCGCGCTCGGCATTCCGATCGCTGCAATCCCGTTCTCCTGCGTCCCCTCGTCCCTCGCCACCCTACCTTTTCCTTTAGTCTCCGAATCCCGTGACCCCTCCATCGTTTCGCCTGTTTCCCCAACATGGTTACTCGGCTCTGCGACATGGTTACCCGGCACTGCGACATGGTTACCCGTTTCGTCCGCATCTCTACTCGCTGAAGTGGAATCAGCCGCTGCCTCTGCGCGACAAGCAGCAGGCTCGGAAGCACAGCCTCGTTCCCGAACCTCTAGCACAAGCTCCGGGACGGTATCAGCTTTGGTGCCGGACCTAGGCGTGCCGAACCAAGACGCACGGGATTTTGGCGTGCCGGACCTAGGCGTTCCCCAGCCATGCGTGCCGGACCTAGTTGGTGTGGATGTTTCGATACGTTGCGGAGGTTCGTCATGGTCCAGCGTCATATCTTCGTTACCGAAGCAAGATAACGGGATGATATGCGTCACCGATTCCCACCGTCGCCGAGACCGCTTATAACGAGACGAAATATCGCTGGCAGGGCTGCTGCTGAAAGCGCGGGAAAAAATGTTCAGCTGCGGGCTGCTGAAGGGACGATGGAACACGCCGGACCTCGGGGTTGACGACACGGACGATGACGTCATCGTAGGGTTTTCAGGATGAGGAGGAGACGAAGGAGAACCGCGAATTTTGGCGAGAGGCTTTCCGGGACGAAGAAAAATGTGCTGGCAGGAGCAGCAATGCGCGGCGATGCCGGTGCCGACGTGGCAGTCCTCCCAATCGCAGCATTTCATTTCGCTAAGGTAGTCGCCATAAGGTTGTACCAGGCGGGGCTGTCGGTGCGGTTGGAAAAAAGTTTAGGTTTAACTATGGCGTCGGCAAAATCAGAAGCGCAGATTCCGAACCCTCGTCGACAGCCTGACGGTATCATAAGGTTCGGTTATAGAGTTGACGGCTCCTGAACCGTGTTTGATCGAGAATCTGACGGTGCAGAACGTCGCATAAATATAGCCTTCCAGCTTCAAGATAGAAAAATCAAAATTAAAAGGGTGTCTTAAAAGGCGATAACAAAACTGCACGCTCCGAGGAAGCCGCACAATAAAAGTGGAATGACGATTAGGCCAGAACGCTTACCGCGACGAAACCACGCGGAAATGCACGAAACACCCACAATCCGCCAAGCGCGGGCATACGACTCAAGTTCTAATTGATTCAAAAACCATACTTCGGAAATGCACGACACACCCCGGAATGCTGTAGGACCCACGCACAAACTACTAACTGCTCTCGTGAAGCCCGCAGTCAGGATCGCACACAATCACGCTGACGGGTGATGCAGGTGATCATCCATCGAATGGCCTGACGAAAAGGCCTGACGACGACGACAAGCTTCAGGACCTAATTAGTCGGCTACCTACTGAGCCTGACAAACCATGCGACAATTGCTACAACAGCAGCGCTGGAGTGCTGGGCTCACAAGTTATGGAGAAAACTTGCTTTGGATCTGGGGAACCGTTCCGTGCGGTTGAACAATTTCCAGAACGGTACAAGGCAATGCAAGACCTTCACCGTGTTATAACGCAACGCATCCAGCAGAACCGTGATGTGTGTGTGACTCAAAAAGAAACACGTGGGAGGGACACCACTTCGAGAGTGTCCAAATGCCAGGCTGTCACGATGTCTCGACATGGCTGACATGGGAGCGGATATTGGGGTACCACGAACAAAGGACCTACTTCTTCGCGAAGATCGCGAAGGTTACCCTTGTCGTTGGGGAAAAGGACTTTGTCGTAAGCTGTGTTGTCGGGGGAGGTCTATCTTCGTCGACCACCATACGATTTTCGCCAACGATGATGATCAGTTGGATGCTGGGCCACGACAAGCTCCATGGCAGCATGGCCGGTGCTCCCAAGACGAAAACACAATTCGGCAATCGGGAGGGGACCCAGTGCTCCACTCCACCATTGGGAATGGCTGTCAGGACCGAAGACCGCTCAAACAAGGTTGGCAAGGCAACAACTGTACACGGGAAACGTTGACGACTAATGTAGAGGATGTACTGTACATCGACAAAATTGAGATACAGCATAAGTTGCAAATTATTTGCCTGCACTTCAACCCTGTATATGTTTAGTAAAGCCAACAGCTCTACATTGACAAACCGTTATGGTAAAGTGGAGCTAATATGGGCGAAGTTCTGAAAGAGAAAAGAGAACTTTGATTGTTCATCTCTAAAAGAGCAGATGCAATCACCATTCAAAACACAAAACCACACATGGCTTCTACCCAGCAACCCCAGCGGGTGACAGAAGCTATTACCCCTGCATTTTCACCCACCCGTAGTGATTTGCAACCACATCCCCAATCTCTTCCTATACTGCATAATATTAGTTGTTCAATATACGGTACCTGTTGTGCAAGAAACGACCAAGGTCCAAATACCTAAACCGCCATCGCTCTCTAATTGTCACAATGGGGAAACGAGCAAGTTGGTGTTCTAACACGAAATTGCCAGATCGATGCCCTGATCACGTCCTGTAACCCGTAGACGCCCATAAACTGTCGCCAATATCCAGCTTTTGGCGCCACACCAGCTTAAACCCCTTGCTGCTCTGTTTCCTGCCGTCCATCCCTTCTTCCTCCGCAGATCCATTACCTGCTGCATAACTAGGTTGTGTCTCTCTTGTGCTCCCTCCCTTTTTTCACAGCATCACCTCACCTGCTCTCCTCTCCTCCACTCGCTCTCTCCTCCCCTCGCGCCCTCCAATTCTCCCCATACCCCTTCTGGTTCTTGGGCGTCCTGCCTCCACTACCCACCCCCCCATGCCCCGGACTCTCTCTATACCCCACCGGCCCCTCCCTATACCCCGCTCCACCCCTCACTCGCATCGGACTCGCCGACCCAGCAACACCACCCACTGACCCTCCTCCTTCCTCCTCGCCCCGTTCCGAGAACCGGTGGTGGTTCACATGGTGGTGGTGCATGTGCCTCACATCCGGGGATTGCATGGGGGAGAGTGCGGAGCGTCTCACCCCTCCGTGGTGGTGGGGGGCAGGGGAGCGCGAGCCCTTGCGCTCGCCCCCTCCCCCGCCCCCGCTGGAGTTGCTCCGCCGGTCCATCGGGTTGTGCTGTGGCGTGCCAGGTGGCGGCCTGTGGTCGAACGAACAGGAAAGGGGATGGGATGAAGAAAAGGCAATGGTGATTGCGAGTTAGAATAAGCTTAAAAGTGTTTAAAAACTAAATACTGAACTCTCAGGTGCAGCAAAACGCGCTGCACATGCACATGCACATTTCGGCGCCACAGCCGAGTTTCCTCACCACTCCCCACCCCACTCGCCAACAACCCCCCAACCCACCTGGAAATCTTTTCGGGGTCAAACGGCTGGTTGGCGAGGTAGCTCAATGCGGTAACCACATCGCCAATCATGGGTCGCTGAGCGGCCTGCTCCTGCAAGCACATGGCCGCCACCGCGAGCGCCTGATACAGCCCGCGCATCGGGTAGCGGCCCCGTAATCCGGGATCCGCCATGGCTGGAAACTTCCTCCGGTCTTTGAATAGTGGCCGAGCCTGGTGGGGGGGGAGTGAGGGGAAGGCGGGAGAGACGGGTAGGAGAGGGGAGGGAGAGGGAGAGAGAAGGGAAATGAAAAACGTGCACAACTCAAAGAACCATAGCACCATAGACCACCACCCCCTCGCTCTCTCACTCCTTCCTTTCTCACCCTCATGCACCCCGCCATCACACAACCACCACACTCGCCCATCCAACCGATGGCTGCCACGTGGCTTACCCATGCGACGAGATTGTGCTCGCCGTGTCGCCTGTGCATGTCAATCGCTCGCCGACCAGTAATCAGCTCCAAAAGCACCACACCGAAACTGTACACGTCCGACTTCACTGTAAGCTGACCCGTCATAGCGTACTCGGGTGCACAGTAACCGTACGTTCCCATGACTCGTGTGGAAACGTGCGTTTTGTCGCCAACCGGGCCCAGTTTCGCGAGGCCGAAATCGGAGAGCTTCGGATGCCATGATTCGTCGAGGAGAATATTGGATGATTTAAAATCGCGATATATAACGGGTGGATTCGCCTTGACGTGTAGATATTCGAGACCCTTCGCGGCGCCAGCAGCCACGTGCATGCGCATGTTCCATTCCAACGGCTCTTTACCCTCCGGCAGGTCTGTAACGCGTAAAGACGAAACAGGAGAAACCCAAGTGGGAACAAACGATTACGGTGCGATCACGCGAACATCCTTGTTTGTGCTATGTGTCAGCCGCACTTTATCGATAGTAACGGCACTTCAGAAAAGCAAAATCAACTTCAGTTTGACAGCTTAGAGGATCGAGGCTGTACAGTAAATATTTGTGTAAAGTTCTTACCATGTAAATGGTCCTCAAGTGCGCCGTTCGCCATGAATTCGTACACCAATAGCCGCTGGTCGCCATCGGCGCAGTAACCAATGAGGTTCACGAGATGCGAGTGGTGTAACAGCGACAGCATGAGCACCTCCACGAGAAACTCTCTGTTGCCCTGCATTCCGTTACGGTCGAGCTGCTTCACGGCTACAATCTGTTCGGAGCACAAAACACAATAGCGGGGATCACGCGGGGAAACTTGATCCTGATTTGCAACCCACAAGAATCAGGGCTGGACAAATTTGACGGAAGCAAGTGCTCAGACAGGTAAAAAAACAAGATCGTCAAACTCCGTGTGCAGTAGCGTATCCCCAGAGCCTCCAATGCCAGCATGAGTCGGGCACAAAGTTTTTTGCTGCCCCATCACGGATCAGCACTCGACGCATCTAGAGATTGACGAGGTTCATGAGGAGCCAACCACGCTAGTCCAGCAGAGTGTTGGCTTAGTTGGGACATCGAACTATCAACAAGAACCAGTTACATGTTTTACAAATACCAACACTCGACTGGAAGCGCAGGACCAGCACAAGCAGCAGCGCGAACAGCAGCAGCAGAGGAGCACGAACGACTCACCTGGCCAGTAGACTCCAGCTTTCCCTTATAAACGCGTCCGAATCCTCCTTCCCCTACAAAGTTCTTTTTCGAAAACCCGCCCGTCGCTCGCTCGAGCTCGCGAAACGTGAACGTCT